GTTCAGGGAACAGAGTATCAGAGGGGGGCGTTCAGGGAACAGAGTATCAGAGAGAGGCGTTCAGGGAACAGAGTATCAGAGGGGGCGTTCAGGGAACAGAGTATCAGAGAGGGGCGTTCAGGGAACAGAGTATCAGAGGGGGGCGTTCAGGGAACAGAGTATCAGGCGTTCAGTCTGATTTCTCTATCTTTCGGTTACTGAAATGATTCTTATAAAGTATAAAGTATAAGTACCTGGATCTTGTTGAAGTACTGCCCTGCGTCAAAAGGCACCACGTTGTAGGTTGAGATCCCGATGATGTGTTTGTTTGTCGGGTTTTTCGCCCGGTAGAACGCCAGCGCCGTCTCTCCGGGAACAACCTGCAGAATATAAGAATAAACCTTTCAGCTTTTTATAACCTAGTACCAGTATTTCAAAGTGCATTTTACAGACAGGAAGCTGGTGTTACAGAGAAATACAACATGTTAGATTTTATCTTGTAACTCCCGATATGTCGGCTGTTAAATGTGTTATTTCTAGGGCTTTGTCCAAATATTTATTTTTGTATTAAACGACCTTGAAACATTAGTGTATCGAGTATAATCCAATATAATTATTTTAATTTTGCGAAAGTGTGAATGAGTTGTTGGTTTCAGCGCCCCCTGCTGGTGACCTAAGTCTTTCTTACCATTTTCAAAGTGCTTGAAACCATGGGCGGGTCAAAACAGCAAAACCTCTGCCTGCTGTTTTCAAAGTGGGTTTCCGATTTCGTGCAGACCGTAGCTTGAAAGTAACGTTTTTTTAAATGTGCAGAGAAGGGGAAATGAAGCCCCGGCCCCTCCTCCATTCAAATGTTCACGGGAGAAGGGAAGAAACGTCCGAAGCGCATAACGTCTGATCGCTTCTCCCGTTGACACTTTACTATTTATTAATTGTTGTGTGTGTGTGTGTGTGTGTGTGTGTGTGTGTGTGTGAGTGTGTGAGAGAGTGTGTGTGTGTGTGTGTGTGTGTGTGTGTGTGTGTGTGTGTGTGTAGGTGTGTGTGTGTGTGTGTGTGTGTGTGTGTGTGTGTGTGTGTGTGTGTGTGTGTGTGTGTGTGTGTGTGTGTGTGTGTGTGTGTGTGTGTGTGTGTGTGTGTGTGTGTGTGTGTGTGTGTGTGTGTGTGTGTGTGTGTGTGTGTGTGTGTGTGTGTGTGTAAATATATTGTTTTGTGTGGAGTGAAACTCCAGGGGGGGGGGCTGTAGTTAAACAGCAAGGTAATTAGAATACGCTGATATTCACATCGGCCCCGCCTGCTCAGCCAAAACTCCCTGGTGTCATTTCTCAGGAGGAAACAGGAGATTCAAGTCAGGACTGAGAGTTGTATCGTAACCATGTGAAATGCTTTTTGAGGAGGCGAGTCTTACTGAGCACACCTTCACAGTTTAATGACATGAATATAACGTGTATGTTTCAAAGTCTGAACTCTGCCTCACGTAGATCTCGCTCTGCTGCGGTCTGAAGTTCCACTGCATGCTGGAGTGAGTGTCTGCGTTGAAGGTGATTTTCAGGATCCTCTCCTTCACCGGCTCCATCGTCTCCACCTGTTCCGTATCGTGCCCCGCCGTCGCTGCGCCGCCCAGCCCCGTCGCCTGCAGGGACGTCAACAACAACAACGTTAACAACAACACCAGAGACTGCACTGACCCACCCACCTTCAAAACACTGCCCAAGCACACCTCTTCAGTCTTCATGTGTGAATAATAGTGTTGCTGTTTTAATATTTTAATTCAACCTTTCATATTTTATTTGATTTCCTTTTTGTCCCCTCTGTAAAGTGAATCAAATGTATTATTATTATATATCTGAGACCTATAACATATGCCTAAAAATTGAATAATAAGAGACATTTAAGTCCCGCCCACCTGGCAGTACAGCCTATAGAGAGGCACGGAGGCGTACGATAGGCCGATCATCCCCACGCCGGCGGCAGCGATGTAAATCAGCAGCGTTTTGTTCCGGCTCCTCCACTCCTCCTCCTGGTTCCGGGTCCTCCGGGTCTTCAGGCCTCTGGTCTGAGACGGGGGGCGCATCGCAGGCGTCCTACAGGGGGCGCTGCGCAGCAACCGCACGCATCGAGGTAACACTGAGGGGGAACCGCAGAGGGGGGCGCGCAGCAGCTGGAACAGCATTGGGGAAACCAGGGGGGGGCAACACGCCTGGGGGGGGAAATATACAAATACAAATAATCAGCATGCAATCTTAAAGGTCCTCTTCTTCATGTCTCTTCTACATCAACATGTGTCCCCTCTTCTTCATGTCTCTTCTACATCAACATGTGTCCCCTCTTCTTCATGTCTCTTCTACATCAACATGTGTCCCCTCTGTGTAAAGAGACTCTCTTTACACAGAGGGGACACATGTCTCTTCAAGCCAAAACATCGTTATGACATCATGTGTCCCACAGAGGGGACACATGATGTCATAACGATGTTTTGGCTTGTGTAACCATTAGCCAATCAGCAACCAAGGTAACCCCCCCCCCCCCC